CACACATGGGTGGCCGTCACCTTAGAGCAGCCACACGGCCTCGGGGGTTCATGTAGAGTCTGTGGGTCTCATTCATGAGAACTATGAGTAAGTTTCTTTCTGAACTTACAATGTTTATTTTCCGTTAACCCAAGCATAGGACTTTACATTTATCCTCATTAAATCTCATCTTGTTAGTTTTGGCCCATTGAGCCACACCGCTGAAATCTCTATAATCCAGATTCTGTGATGCAGAGCGGTTACCCCTCCAGTGTGGCGTTGTCAAGAAGTGTGATCAGTGCACCCCTGATGTCTTCATAGAGATGGCTCAGGAAATTGCGGACCGGGATGAGGCCTTGTACACAGCCCTGGGGCCACTCACTGCATCTCAGTCCAACTATCCAACACGGTTTGGGTCAACAAGACCCATGGATTCATATCCTCTGGATAGTTATTCAGCCAACCACTCACCTGTCCGATGCTGTACCTGAACTAGCTACATTTCTCCCTCCTGCATCAGGATACTCCGAGAGATGCTGTCAAATAAACACCTTCCCAAATATTTACTGCCATGTCTGGTAAATTTTAAATGTCCTTTCTGCTACTGTTTGAGTGAATATTAATTAGATTTGCCCCTTAAGAGATGTCTGGAATTATTCCAGACAGAATAAAAGCCAATGCCAGAATTCTTCCAGTACAAAGACTGGCAAATATAAATTCAGTGGGCCATGGACCTTCCCCCAGCACCTGCCTCCAGCCAGGGATGGGCCAAGGCTTAAAAAACAGAAAGCTCCGTGGATCTGAGAGATGTGGGGAGTGTGATCTACAGCCATCACTTCTAATTATCCTAAACTGGAAAAATGGATGTCTAAGCTGGCCAGCCTGTCCAATAAAGCATTTTGATCAAAGATGCAGTTGCACAGAGCACCTGTTTGAGGGATGGCCTGAGAGCCCACGGGGACCCAGGAGAGTTACGGTAAGTCATAAAGTGGTCCCTGCAGTTCCGTAGGCAGACAGCAACACTGTGAAAAATGCTTCTCTGGGGAAGCTTTGAGTTTCCTTAAACATTCAATTATGGCTATACAAACACAGATTTAAAGTGAACAGCATCCGATCTTTGCACAAATTAGGGATGCTAGGGGGCAAATAAAAGAGATTCCCTGAAACAACTATTTAATACAAATTCCACTCCACTTCATGAAGAATTGGCGTACGTGATGAGTTTCTGAGTAGGGTTAATTAGGTGACCCTCTTTTAGTATTAGCTTTGGATTATATGGCTCTTATGATTTGAGACACCGAGGCTACCTTTAGTTTGGTTATGATTTCCAAATAGGTTTTTAATTAAAATAGATTTCTGGATACTTAAAGACCCAGTATTCAATGGATAGAGTTTCCTAGCCATTTGAGAGTTGCTGGAGGCCTTTCTAAATCACCAACATATCCATTTAATGAATAATAAATACTTCAATATTCTTCTTTTCAACCTTTAAGTTTTAAGATTTTACAGATTTTTTTCCTTCAATATAAAAAGTTTTCCTAATTTTAACAGTAAGATTTTCTTGTTGTAAAACATGAATAAAGCAAACGTCTTCCATAATCTTACTACCCAGGGCTATGTGTGCATGTGTATAATTTTAAAATAAAAACTGAATACCACGTAAAATATTACCTACATGCTGTTTACATTGATTATATCATGAATGCTTTTTACAATAAGAAAGATTCTCATCATCACCTTTAATTGCTGCACAGTACTCTATTTCATGGCTGAATCCTAAATTATTTAATCAATCTCCCCCTATCAATTTAGGTAAAATATTCTGCAGTGAGCATTCCTGAATGTAAGGCTGCTTCCCGGCCTGCCGGCATGATATAGGTAGTGACAGCTTACCTTCTGGTTAACCAGGCTCTCTACTGTGCTGATTAAATATTCACATTTATCTTGCTTGAACATTTATTTACCTTTGAGTTCTTATAGTTTCATGTGGATAAAATCTCTAATTGGATCTATTGGGCCAAAGGCTATATTAATGAAAAATTCTACTTTATCTTGGACAATGGATCATATTTTGTGTCTGACAGCATCAAGGGCTGGTAGCATATAAGCATTTCACTCTACTTACAAAATTACAGATTTTTGGTATTTTTCAAAAAAAATATTATGTAGAAGTATTTTGGGGGAATGTAACTTTAAAATAGTAATGTTGGCATGCTCTAATTATGAAAATGTTATTTTCAGCAGAACAGAATCTCTACGACTGTAGTGTTAATAAGTAGTGTAATTAAAATAAAGTTGTAGAATGTCATAGGAACATATAAAACACTCTCCCTATATTTTCTAAAATGTCAGTTGACAGTGAGGTGGGGAAGAGAGATATAAATCAAGAAGAGACCATTTGGGGCACCTGGGTGGCTCAGTCAGTTAAGCGTCCAACTTCAGCTCGGGTCATGATCTCACGGTTCATAGCTTTGAGCCCCATGTCGGGCTCTGTGCTGCAGCTAGCTCAGAGCCTGGAGCCTGTTTCAGATTCTGTATCTCCCTCTCTCTCTGACCCTCCCCTGCTCATGCTGTCTCTCTCTCTCTCTGAAATAAATAAAACATTAAAAAAAAAATAGGAGACCGTTTTGCATTTTCAACTTTTCTAATCTTGAGACTATTCTGTGAAAGGCCCAGAATTGGAAGTAGGCAAATTAAGGCACCCATTAAAATGATCTTTTATACAAACTAGCTCCTGTGTTACCATCGTTGTGCATTATACCATCTGCCTTAATAAACAGTAAGTCATTTTCAAAAAGAACCATGAGTGAGGCTATTGAGCCACTAACGGACTCAGAGAACCAGAGCGGTGCTAAGGACCACATTTCTATATGGACATGCCCATTATAAAGCTAAATGAAGAAGTAGATTATCAAATTGCACACAGACTACAATATCCACCAAGAAGACCAAAAAAAAAAAAAAAAGCCTTATTTATGAGGAAAAAATGTATTTGAACAACCCCTGAAATATTAATCAGGAACTGTGTTTGGTAGTAGAAGTATTTTATTTTTTTTTTGGCTCTTTGTTCTTTTTTCTCCTACAATTTTCAACTTTCTACCCCGGACATGTATCCCTTTTAGAGTAAAAACAAATAAACCAAGGTTTTTATTAAGTGGATTTGTGTTCCCCTACCACCGTCTAAAGATCTGGGATGGGCACCACTCACACCGCCCCCCCACACCCTCCAACACTGTGACAAAAGAAGAAGCCGCCAAAATCCAGCAGCAGCCCTAAAACCTCACCGGGGATATGCATCACCACCAGAAGCCTCGTTCTCTTGTAATCTTTCAGGAAATGCCTAGTTTCGTCCTTTGAGATAGTTCGAAACCACCTACAAATAGCAATTTACAAAACCTAAAATGTCCCGTGGCATTCTTACGTGGAAAAAAAAAAAAAAGCACGGACATATTTACTTTGCTAAAAGAAACACAGCAAAGGCAACAGAGTTTTCCGTTCGGCAGCCTACTCATCCAAGACGCGTACCCAAATCCCTAATTTAAGATCATCAAGTCATGAGGAAGACTAAAAGCACATTATCTACTGTTTACAAAAGCTTTATTTGTTTAAGCTTATTTTTTTTAATGTTTATAATTATTTTTGAGAGAGAGAGAGAGAGCATGAATGGAAGAGGGACAAAGAGAGAGAGACAGAGGATCCGAAGCAGGTCCTGCACGGATGGCAAAGAGCCAGACGCGAGGCTCGAACTCACGCACTGTGAGATCGTGACCTGAGCGAAGATGCTCAACCAACTGAGCCACCCAGGTACCCCTTTACAAAAACTTTTAACCCATTTAATGGTGAGGGGTGAACATGCAAGAAACACGAAGGGGCAGTGTGCAGACCCCCAGGGACAGCCTATGCTATTTCACATACATTCACTGTAAGTGTATTTATTTTCAAATGTGTACACATATCTATTTTTTAAAATTGCTGTCAGCGATGGTGTGAGATACTGAATGTGAGAATTGACCATGATGATCTCACTGATCCTATTTGCCTGGGACCCTCAAATCAAAGCACTGAGACAGTAAGCGATCTGACTTGTTCACATGGAAACACAGAGTCAGATTTTTGCAATGTGTGTCTTCGGCAGAACTCATTCCGGGGAAGCTCTCCTATCTACACTGTCTGCAGCAAAAGTCAGCATTTCACTGATATGTGAGGAACAGGACCCACTAGTTCTAGAAGGTAGAAACTCCTTTTTGAATCAAGCCAGCACTTGGTAACTTTATTTACAGCTTCAACTACAGATTGCTCATTAGAAACACACAGATCTTTACTGGTACTAATCAAATAACACAGTAAGGGGTCCTCTGGGTCTGAGGAACCCAGGGGGAGAGCCAGCGAATAAAGGATGACTGAACAGGGCTTGTGTTACTTTATGCCTTGAAGTAGACACAGTTTTCTACTGGGAAGTCATACAAAATATGTAACAATATCCATCTGCTCCAGGAAAAGAAATAGAATACCATTTTTGGAAATTTATATAATTTTGCAAAAAAAGGTCAAATTTTTAAACAAAAAGATAAAATAAATACTTTGTACCACTGGAGACAAGCTCTGAAAGATAAATAAATCCTTGGTATTTCTCAGGGAAAAAAGAGAGTCTATTCATTTGAAGCAGTTTCTCTTTATATAAGCCAGGGATTGCCAAAAGTCGACTAATTATGGAATGCTGTTATTTGAACAGAAGATGCTTAAATTCTATCCTTGACAAATCAGTCTCTGAACAAAAGGAACATCAGAACTATGAGAAAAACCTGCTGATTTACAGACTTCTTTTTTAGAGTGATAAAGTTCTTTGTTTTTCCATTGGAATCATGTTTTCAAGTTAATTCCAGCCTCGGATCCAAATTGGATTATGAATCCATGCATTTCATTCTGTTTCTCTAAATGCCACGGCGAATTACACAGCACTTTGAACCCACAGCTCCTAACTTGCTCCTAATGCACAGCAAACAAGAATTAACGTGACTTACTCGTTTCTTTCCAGATTTACGATCAGTTCTTTGCTTTCCAGTTGTATTCGAACATTCAACATGTCCGGATGATTCTGAAAGATAAATAAGTCAGCTGAAACACGTTTCACATTCACCTGTCAACATTTGAATATACTCTGAAGGCATATGCCACGGTGGGAGAGAAAAATACATTTTTTCCTTGGGACCAGTCTGAAACCCCCAAGTAGATGAGACCAGCTCAACCACTACCAGAGTCTGGAGGACGCAGCGCCTTCCGGGATGGCGGGAGCATGGCCTCCACCCCTTTTCTTTGGCCACATAGCCTTGAGACCCTCCTTCACTACCCCCACCTCCCACAATAAACACCTTCCTCAGTTTCCCTGTCTCTATAAAGGGCATCTTTATTTCCCCAACTGCTCGCATCAGAAATGTGAAGTCCCGTCTCATACCTTCTCCAGCTCTAGCTCCTCTTAGCCCATGAAGAGGTCCTTACAGGGCTGTCCTCCAAAACACAGCTCCTGTAGCAGCTTACACCTCTCCAACCCCGGTCCAGTTCAACGTGCCTTCACTCTCACCGGGATTACTACAAAGCCGTCCCAACCTGGGTCCCTCCGTATCTACCTCTACCTTCCTCCCATTCATTCTCCAATGGCAACAGAAGCGTATCTTTAAAAACACCTCCTCATCAACCCGCTGCCTCTCATAATGAACCTTCACTGGCACTGGGACTTTAGGGCCTATATGGCTCTGCTCCTCAACCACCTGGCCGTCGCCATGTCGGCCTCGCCAGCTCCTCGGACACGCTGAGCTCCTCTGTAGGGCTCGTCTTTGTGCACGCTGTTCCCTCTACTTGGAATGCTTCCCCTCAGCACCAGCTTCAATGTCAGTAAAGTCGAGGAAGTCTTATCTCACTCCTCAATCTCATTACATGCTCAGCTTCCCCCGGGAAGCCTTCTTTCAGCCTCCTGTCCTCTCCCTCCCTGTAAGGAAGAACCACCTTCCTACTCTTAATAACTCGTATGTTGATTTCTGGCTCCTCTTACTTATTACGTCCACAAAGGCACCAGACAAATAATAGAAGCCCAATTAATAGTTGGCGAAGGAAGGAATTAGTGAACAGGGCACACATCTCTGCCAATCTCTTCTTCTTCTTCTGAGGCAGACACTCTCCTCCTCTGGGCTCCAGGAAACCCAGTTCACGTGTGCCCATCTGTCCGTGGGGAGCCAGCACCTATATTCTCTGTTCTGTCCCGGAAATCCTAATGAGTTTCTTGCCCTGCCCTGAGAAGGCACCTGTGTGACAGTGTCCCTTAACCCACACCCTGCTAACCCAGGGCGGTCCCATGTGCCACACTCCTACCTGTGAGCCCAACCATTCAGAGTCCTTACCCAAATCAAAATGGAATTGCCAACTCAAAGGGATTCTATGAAGCCCCTCTCTGCTCCCTTTCCTGCTGTGCACCCTTAGAGATTCTGGAACAGTCACTTCCAACTCCCCTTTATCTAGACCAGCGCGTCTCAAATGGGGGCTTTACATATCCATGGGGCGTTTGTCACTAGAAGAATTTGAAGTAATTTAATTTTATTTTATAGAGACAGAATGTGTGAATGGGAAGAGGGTTTGCGGGGCGGGGGGGAGGGAGGAAGGGAAAGAGAGAGAGAGAGAGAGAGAGAGAGAGAGAGAGAGAGAGAATATTAAGCAGGCTTCATGCTCAGCATGGAAGCCCTATATAGGTCCCAATCCTATAACCCTGGGATCATGACCTGAGCTGAAATCAGGAGTCAGACACCCAGCTAACTGAGCCCACCTGGCGTCCCATCAATGTTGATTTTTAAAAAAATTTAACATTTATTTATTTTTGAAAGACAGACTGAGCTCGAGCTGGGGAGGGGCAGAGAGAGAGGGAGACACAGAATCTGAACCAGGCTGCAGGCTCCGAGCTGTCGGCACAGAGCCTGACACGGGGTTCCAACTCATGAACTGCGAGATCATGACCTGAGCAAAAGTTGGACGCTTAACAGACTGAGCCCCCCATGCACCCTGTCTAATATTCCAGTTTTAAAAGGCCCTATTGGGACGCCTGGTGGCTCAGTTGGTTAAGCGTCTGACTTCAGCTCAGGTCACGATCTCACAGTTCGTGGATTTGAGCCCTGCATTGGGTTCTGTGCTGACAGTTCAGAACCTGGAATCTGTTTCAGATTCTGTGTCTCCCTCTCTCGCCGCCCTTCCCCCACTCATGCTCTGTCTCTCTCTGTCCTCAAAATAAACTACAAAAAAAAAAAAAAAGGCTCTGTCATAACTCCAGAGTTCAAGAGACATTTCTTACAACATAGCAGTTCATCTACAATATGGATTAAATAACCACATGTTACTATGTTATAGGAGAAGATGGATTATAAGTTCCAATATACAACATTAGTTTACTGAAACAAAATTTAAACAACTCTAACAACAGAAGGTCACGTGAGTTTGGGGAAAAGGTTAAAACACGTATTCACTAGAGCCACGTGACTGGGATAGCATCAAAAAGGGTGAAACACTACTTAACTTTATTTTCAGGGCTTCCGTTGGCACATCTGGACAGTTTCCTACATCGAATATGGTAGCCATTAGCCACATATGTTTTTAATTTTAAATTACTTGAAATAAAACTTAAAAATCAGCTTATCAATCTCACTAGAGACGTTTAAATTAAAAAAAATTTTAATGCTTATTTATTTTTGAGAAAGAGAGAGAGAGACAGAATCCAAGCAGGGCAGAGGGGCAGAGGGAGGGAGACACAGAGCCTGAAGCAGGCTCCAGGCTCTGAGCTGTCAACAAAGAACCCTGTATAGGGCTTGAACTCACGAGCCGTGAGAGCATTACTTGAGCCGAAGTCAGATGCTTAACCAACTGAACCACCCAGGTGCCCCCTCGTTGGACACATTTTAGACTTAGTAGTAAGATGTGGCTAGTCGCTGCCACCACTGGACACAGCAGAGCAAGAGAATGTTCTACCTTGACAGAAAGTCCACAGACATTTCTGTCTTCATTGAGCACCTCTGTGTCACTAATAAAGAAGTAAAATTTGCATCATTCAGTTGCTGCCTGAGCAAGACTATTTTATTTTTTATTTTTTTTTTTTTTACAAATAGTTTATTGTCAAATTAGTTTCCAATGAGCAAGACTATTTTAAATTTTGGTGCCTCAGGGGATATAATTAGGTGCAAACCCAAGTGTTTTCTTTGTTTAGGAGCACATTAAGAAAGCTCTTCTCAATTTTAATTGATGAATGATATTATTTTTGAAGGAGTTACTTAAGCTTGAGAGTTAAACTGGTAAATTTCCATATAAATGAAATGCTTATATATATATTTTTTTTTCTGGGTTTAAACAGATCTTGTTTTTATTTTTTTTATTTTTTAAAGCTTTACTTTTTTTTTTTTTTACAAATAGTTTATTGTCACGTTGGTTTCTGTGTAACACCCAGTGCTCATCCCCACAAGTGCCCTCCTCCATGCACATCTCCCCCCTCCCCACCCACACCCATCAGTCCTTAGTTTGTTCTCAGTATTCAAGAGTCTTTCATGGTTTGCCTCTCTCCCTCTCCCCAACTACTTTCCCCTTCTTCTCCCCTTTGGTCCTCCGTTAAGTTCCTCCTAATCCTCCTATACGTGCACACATATGATATTTGTCTTTCTCTGCCTGACTTATTTCGCTCAGCATAACACCCTCAAGGTCCATCCATAAACAGATCTTGTTTTGTATAGATTCATTCCAGCTAATGACGAAACAAACACATAGCGATCTTGGAAAAATCAGACATCTTAATTGATGTATTTTGACACTGTCTGGTGTTCATAAGAATTGTATGGATTTCTGAGTGCTTGCTGAACTTTTAAAGTTAGTATTACTATTCCAATCCTGTGCAACATTAAACACACATCCCTGCTTTAGATTTTTTAAAAATTTTGTTTAATGTTTATTTATTTTTGAGAGAGAGATACAGAGTGTGAATGGAGAGGGTCAGAGAGAGAGAGAGGGAGACACAAAATCTGAAACAGGGCTCCAGGCTCTGAGCTGTCAGCACAGAGCCCGATGCGGGGCTCGAACCCACAAACCATGAGATCATGACCTGAGCCAAAGTCTGATGCTTAACTGACTGAGCCACCCAGGTGCCCCTAGATTTTAATACAGTGTGTAAAAGTGCTTGTAAGTCCCGGATTTGCTTTGAGTCTGTCATGAGGACTTTTGAGTGCATTTGCCTATATTTTCTGACACTAAGATTTAATTACGAATATGCATAAAATGTGCTCTCCAGAGTTGGTAACTTGTACTTATTTCAGAAAATGGCATTATGAATTTACAAAATATTAGAACAAAAATATGTCGCAGTATTTTGTCAAGATGTCCCCAGCATATGTATGTGTATGTATATTTGCATGTATTTAATATATGTGTGTGTATAAATAACTTGCTTTAATTATAAATTGTCTTTGCCCAAGATATTGACACATGTATCACCTTTTAAAGGTCAATCCTGACAATCATATTTGTGAATAAAAAGAATATGTTTGCAATCCTCTTCCTTTCTGCCTCCCAAATTTAACTAGCTTAAACATTAACATTTGTACTAATTTTGCATAAAGCTTCTACAGAAGCTCTTATAACATTCCAATGTCAACATCTTTCAGATGAATACATTTTCCCCTAGGGAGGCAGAAAACTTTTAAAAAAAGATCTTTATCTGTACATTTTAGTTGAGATTTAATGGTACAGGAGAAAGCACTGGGGAAAAGGAACAGGGAGCTATTTTCATGCAAAACCACTAATCGCATTGGATTGCTTAGTTTAAAAGCATGTATTCATTCCATTTTCTTTTGATTTTTGTACATTGGAGATAATGAACGAGTGCTGGTTAAATATAGCATCCCTTTTCTGAAAAAGGATATATTGATTACCTTAATGGAACTGTGTCTTTCATTGAATGCTTAAAGAACTACATTTGCTGAATAAATCAGTTCAATGCTAATCGATAGGCCAGAAATGTTTTGACAGTCATTAAATTCCACTTTTCTAACTGGGAAAAGCATATCCAAATGAGCATATAAA